GGGGGGGGGGGGGGGGGGGTAGTAGGTAGGTAGGTTTGTACAACTGCGCGACACGGACATGAACATCGAGATGATAGGAAGTTCGGCCAGATAGACGGGCAGAGCGGTAGACAGAAGAGTAGGTTCCACAAGGCAAGCAAGAACATGTTTCCACATGTGCAACACACACGTGCGGATGTCTACATACCTGCACACCCATCTAGATATGCATGTGCATACACACACATGCACATACAAACATACATACATTTTTGGCACTCGCGACACATACATACATACATACATACATACATGCATGCATGCATGCATGCATGCATGCATGCATGCAGACATACCATACATCCCTACACAGGACGTACACACGTACATACCTGCATGTATGCATGTATGCACCTCATACACGCAGCATGCAGACAGACATGTGCGCCTACCAGTACATGGCTGACTTATATTGCATACATACATAAGTCATGACGCATGCGTACATACACACAAACATACACACACACACATACGCACAACTGCCGAACCCTACCTGCCACGCGGCATCAAACGACCATAGACAAAGTGAAGCACACGCGGCGGACATACTTAGACATACTTGTTTACGATGAAAACATGCAAACCAAGCCCAGCCCTGGTCCTTCCAGTGCAGGCATAGATGGCGCCATTGGCAAGGGACCATACAAGTCATCGAGCTCCTTCTTCGACGGGTCCAGTGATAACCACGTCCCTGGCGGAGCCCTCGGTGCAGCCGACCACCGGCGTCTGATTCCAGCGGCCGAGTCTGCTAGGTCCAAGTTCGTCGGCAACTGATCTCGTGGATCTGTGGTGCTGCATTCGGCCACGCTTGGCTCTGCTTCCGGGGAGGCACAGGCGCTGACAGTTGACAAGTACGACCCCGTGCCGGGAGATGCCGTGAGTGCAAGCTCTACTGTGGCAGTCGTGGTCGATGCCGGCGATGGTGGTTCGGGCACAGCTGGACTATTCATGGCTTCTGCAAAGCTGTGCGCCAAAAGGGCGGGCTTGTCCGGGCCTTTGGAACGGCGACGGCCGCTGCTGAGCTCCTTGCTGGGCTCCTTGCCTTTGCCGCCTTTGCCCTTGCCCTTTCTTGCTTCTTCTCTCTGGGCCGTGCCTGCAGCAAGCACAGCACTGCGAAACAGCCGAAGTCTTGATACATCCTGAGGGCAGAAAGAGAAAAGTGCGCCGTAGACCATTCGCGAGACTGCGGCAAGACAGAAAACGGACTACTGACTGGTGACCAGCGGTCCGGTTGGACAAGTGAGCTAGTAGCACTGCCTGTCCAGATTCGACCCGATTGAACTCAACTTTCAGAGACGATGTCAGTGGTCTGCAGAATCTGAAACCCCGGCGAAAACCAGCAGCAGCGTTGCAACGACTAGTAGCTACTAGTAAAAGCCACACTAATGCCAATCCTAACTGATAAGAATCACCAGGTGTTAAGAACGATGCACCCCGGACCACAAGCGAGGGCCTTCAGATCGGGAGGGCTCGAAGGCGCCAATGGGAGCTCTGCCAGGTGCCACGGTCAAAGCAGCCTCGGATGGTGGACTGGAGTAAAGCCTTCCTAGAGTTTCCCATGCAAGCAGGGGGCGTTGAAGAACAGCATGGAAACACAAGAGGGTGGTACCAAGGAAACTCGCCGGCAGTGGCTGAGCCTCTGGCATCAGTGGGGAGTCGAGTCAGCATGCCAGCCCCACGCGGTGCCTTGGAGCTAATATCCCGAACGCCCAAAACCTAAGCCCCAAACTGCACAGCAACAAAACATCGAAACCCCTTCAAGCCTTCAATCCTCGACCCTTGCCAACGACCCCCCCCTCAAGTAAACCCCCACACACACACATGAAGCTCTAAACGCTAAACCCTAAGATACCCGTAATATTGGGGGTCCAAAGGGCGTTTCGACCAGGCTTCCGGGCAGCCCTTTCCCAGTCTTCCTGTGAAAGAAACATTCGCAGGACGGAGTCTTAGACCGCAAGACCCGAAAGGAAGGGTGCGGTGTGTAATCGGGACCTTAGAGCGTGTACCGGATAAGTGCCTCATCCAGAAGTCGAGGATTTGCTCTACACGTGCTGGCTGCCGCAAGTGCACCTCGCCGACTACTCTGGAACCTGCCCTTAGCCAATTCATGTCGGTCTCCTGGATTCGTTGGGCTCTCGACTCCCTGTCCCGTCGCTGGCGACCTCAATCAATATGTTGGCAGGACCACCGAGCAAGATCATATGGCAGTTCACGAACACTGAACAGTTACAAGTAAATTGGACCCTAAATCTTCAGCAATCCCTGCATGGATCAGCACAGAAATTCGGAAAAGGGCCCTGCTGTGCTCAGGTACCAGCTCTGTGCCTGACGGGCAGCAGCAGAGACTGCCGCTGCTGCTCGAGCACCACCTCGTGAGCAAGGACATCCACATCGGGCTTCCTAAGACTGAGTTAGGTATCAGCTTAGGGTTCCTCACATCGGCATGCTCTCACACATGAACGAAATTTCTTCACATCTCGAACAGGTCTTCAATCGAGATCTTCACTCGTAGCCAAAGGCTAACCGGCACCGCCTGCCCTCGCGGCTGCCCTGCGTCCGGCGGGCGTGGTTGCCACCTCGGAGCTTCATGCTCTCGCAACCAGCTGCTGTGAGTTGAGATCCCAGCGAACGAATGCTTCCAGCATTCACCAGCTCCATCTAGTTATGGTGCTCTCCGTGCCCGACTGAGACCACTACCACACCGAACGGCTGATCATCCGTCCTCTCCACATACTTTCTCTTCCCAAGGCGGATTGCAGCCAGGCGGATTGAGCAGCCCCTCGCGAGGGCATCGGGTGCCTGGGCGTCTGCCCGCCTCCATCGGAGTCTTTACCTCTGCATACAAGGTGTGCGGCCGAGGCAGCCGACATTGTGGCAATGATGGTGATTTTAGTGATGACGATCGAAATGAATATAATGATGACGACGGTGGTGGTGATGGTGCCGAGGATGGTGGTAGCGAAGATGATGGTGCGAGTGCCGGTGATTGCATGATGGTGCTGCTGGTGGTCGTGGTGGTGGTGGTGGTGGTTGGTGGTGGTTGGTGGTGGTTGGTGGTGGTTGGTGGTGGTTGGTGGTGGTTGATGGTGGTTGGAGAGGTTGGTGGTGGTTGGTGGTGGGTGGTGGTGGGTGGTGGTGGGTGGTGGTGGGTGGTGGTGGGTGGTGATGGGTGGTAGGTGGGTGGTGGTGGGTGGTGATGGGTGGTGGTGGTGGCCGCCGCCGCCGCCACCACCGCCACCACAGCCACCACCACCACC